TTTTTTAAAGATTTTTATTTATTTATTTATTTGAGAGAGAGAGAATGAGAGAAAGCACATGAGAGGGGGGAGGGTCAGAGGGAGGAGCAGACTCCCTGCTGAGCAGGGAGTCCGATGCAGGACTCGATCCCGGGACTCCAGGATCATGACCTGAGCCGAAGGCAGTCGCTTAACCAACTGAGCCACCCAGCCGCCCCATTTCAGATATCTTTAATAATTTTATCTTGTTAATTCTTTACAAAGCTCAACAGAATTGGTATGCTATAGAACAAAGGGACAAATAATAGTTTGTGTTTTAATACTTTGATTTAAGGCTTATTATCTTTATATCCTGAAAATATTTGACAAATAGTACTTAGTGAGTGTTATAGCTAAGTCTGGTAGAAATCAGATATGTTCTTTTTTTTTTTTTTTTACATTTTTAAAAATTTTATTATGTTACGTTAATCACCATATATTACATCATTAGTTTTTGATGTAGTGTTCCATGATATGTTCTTAAAGATTTTTTCCTTTTAGAAGAGATTGTCAGGAAGGCATAATATATTACACATCTGTTTGTTAATCAAAATGTCTAACTGGAATATATTTTGGGAGCCCACATATAGTTCTTCTCTAACATTAATCTGGTGAGATGTATATACATATATATACATGTGTCATATATTTTTTTAATATAAATAAAGAGTAAAAAATATGTTTTGCTACAGAAACCACTTAGACTTCGGAGTGGCCATGAAAGGTGTTTTCAGGATAAACACAGGGTACTTCTGCTTCCTTCTTGATAAATCCAGGCTATTTAAAAGCTGTCACATTGCCCTGTTGCCATGGATATTGTAATGAGGGAGAAGGAAAAAACTATTCCTAACTTCTTGTCTTATTTCTTAAGATTTGATTTTGATAATTTTAAATGTTTCATTTTTGAAATGCTAGATTATGCTTTGTGGTGAAGAAAGGAGATTTATTATTTTGACACTGTCTTTCTAGTTCAGTGTCTGAGGCCTTCTGTAATCTTCCTCTTCAGTCAAAAACTGAGTGTCTTGTCAGCTTTTAGAATATGGCAGTGTCAAGAAGCCATAGCAGTGGACATGATTTCAAAGCCTCTTTGAAATAGGCTTTGCCCCTCAATTTATTGGTGATGGCATTGGGCTTAAATGTATATCATCATGGAATAAAATGCAATACCTAGATATTTTTAGTTTGTGTTTTTTTAAAAATACTGAATCTTTCTTTGTTTTAGAGGGCTGTATTAATTTAGAGGATTTTTTTAGAATTTCTTCCAAATTCTCATAATGGCACTATATAAGCAAAGATTTTTTTATCCCTCAAGTCTATATTTCTTAGGTATTATAATCATCTAAGACTAGGAAAATAAATGCTTTATTTCTGTCATTTTATACAAAGATCTGTAAGAATAATTATAAGTGTAAATGAATTAATTTTTAGTTACTAGAAAGTCACTCACAGAAATTGAATAGAAAATTAATATCTTTTTATGTATGTTTAAGTTCTGAAAGATTAAATATTATTCTGGCTAGAATTTCAAGATTTCTTGGGGTGCGTGGGTGGCTCAGTCGTTAAGCATCTGCCTTCAGCTCAGGTCATGATCCCAGGGTCCTGGGATCGAGCCCCGCATCGGGCTCCCTGCTCTGGGAAGCCTGCTTCTCCCTCTCCCTCTCCCCTTGCTCATGCTCTCTCTCTCTCTGTCAAATAAATAAATAAAATCTTTAAAAAAAAAAAAAAGATTTCTTACCTATATAGTTTGTTGCTTTGGTGTATCTGTCCTTGAATTTTCTCTTTAATAGATTTCAAAATAAAAATAATGAGGTTCATTTCTTAAGTTTACACTTACGAACAGTATCATCTGAATTCAATCTTTGTAGCTCTCACTAATGTATTTAAGGTAGTACTTGGATTACTATGAATATATAAAAGAGTGATCTCTAAAATTATCTCTGCCACATATCAGTGTGTTTGTGATACTGCCTCAGCAAGATTTGAAGATGAAGAGATATAAGGTAGTTTTTAAAGTGATCGACTCTTTTGCCTTTTTAATTTGTGAGACAACCTATGAAATGCCAACTCTAAGATAATAATTCATGTCTGAATTGTTGAAATCCATCTGGAATAGCCACCTCTTTTTGGAGTAGTTTGTAAGGTTTAGGGCATAGATGTTCTTCACTTATATAGGTTGATCCACTCTAAGGAGCCAAGGAGCAGTCTGTATTCAGAGCAGTGTTTCTCAACCCATGAGGCTGGTAAGAAATATGGGTTATATTATGATCCAGCCTGCATATGCTCGCATGTGTGCACAAATATGCAAAACAATTCATGAATACTTTGTACAGTGCACTGTTTTCTATTTCATTTTTTTTAATGCCAATTCTAATTGTTATCCAAAAATAAGATTTCAAAACTGAGTATTGGGCCATGTCTGCAGTTTGATAAACTATGTTTAGGATATGCCCCTTATTCTTAACTTTAAGTTTTTCTTTACCTTGCACTGCTTATACACATGTTCTATATTATATAGTTTTCTATGGAGATCGTTGATAAACACCTATTTAAACTATGATGCAATTGCAGTCTAAAGAAGAAGAGAAACTCTGGGAACCCATATAGATGTGTGACATCTGGAAGGAAAGATATTTTCTAGACTGTTTGCAGTAGTTCTGAGGATGGGAGTCAGGATTTCCAGAGGATCTCTTGTTTGTTTGATTTGGCTTTTTCTTTCCTTTCCAAACAATGGGTAATTTCATACTCAGCAATATTTTAAAAGGTAGTTCTAATTTATTGGGAAAATAACTCATAAACCAGAATTTGAATTTTTAAAAAGAAGTCATTTTGGCCTGAAGATTATTAGAATGCAGAAAGTAAATAGGAAGGAATTCCTTACAGTTTTATTCCATGCTTCTTTTACAGGGAAGAAGTTTCAGTAAAATATATCAAAGAAAGAATTTTAAATTGGGGGACAGAAAATAAGCTTTAGTCACTCTTTCTCTATTTAGCATATGATATCTGAGCCTCAATTTGCAAAGTGAATGAGTTTGGCCTAGTTTATTTTCAACTTTAAGACTTTCTGATTTTAGGTTAAATCAGGGATTAGATTTTTAAGTGCCTTCTAGGCATAAGACACTTATATGGTAAAATTTAGAATATTACAGACAGGGGTATGAATTAAGATCAATGAGGACCTGTTTGAGGAAGCTGCTAGAATCCTGCTCAGATGTTATTTGAAGTTTGTGTGCTTTATGGCCATTTAATCCTCAGGTTCTCTTGCAGAGTTGAGTGCTTATACACTCAATACAGATTGTCCAGGAAAGAAGGAAAGATGGAAGTTCTAGCATTTTAAGTATTTAGTTGGAATTGACTCCGTGGTTACTATAAACTGTGCTTTCTTTGAAATTATTTTGCTATAAAAGTAAGTCTTACCTCTATTGGAGGTGAAAAATAGAAGAAAATGTGAAATGGATTATGTTAAACTTCTGAGAATTGTGTATTGTTATAGGCTGATAATTCTGTATTTGAGAAGGTTATTAAAGAATTGATATCCGTGATGGTAGGTTAATTAAATAAATAACATAAACAATTTTGAAGGAGATAGTTGTGATTAAAAACAAGTTAAGAGTAGATATATATTCTTAGAAATTATATATCTGTATAGCTAACAAAAATGTACTCCTACAAACAACTAAGTTATGAACTTTTTAGGTAGTTTAGAAGTTGTAGAAGAAATGATCTTGTAGGAGTGGTTTGAGAAATGACTGTGAGTGAATGAATGTTTTATTTTCTCGGTCTAAGAGAGGTAGGCTATATATTTAATGGAATGTTACTCAGCTGTAAGACAGAATGAAATCTTGCCATTTGTGACAACTTGGATGAACCTTGAGGGCATTATGCCAGGAGTAATAAGTCAGACAGAGAAAGGCAACTGCCATTTGATCTCACTTATATGTAGAATCTAAAAAAGAACTCCAAACAAACAAAAACAAATGAAAAAAACAAGTTCATGGATACAGAGAACAGATGGGTGGTTGTCAGTGGCAGGGGTGAGAGGTGGGCAAATGGGTGAAGGGGATTAAAAGGTACAAACTTACAGTTATAGAATAAATAAGTCCTAGGGGTATAATGTACAGCATGGTAGCTATAGTTAATAATACTGTCTTGTATATTTAAAATTTACTAAGAGTAGGTCTTAAAAGTTTTCACCATTAGAAGAAAAATTCCGTAATTATGTGGTGATGTTAACTATACTTACTGGGTGGTGATGATTTTACAATGTATACAAATATGGAATCATTATGTCGTGCACGTGAGCTAATATAATATTATATGCCAATTATATCTACATTAAAAAAGTGAAAAGAGAGGTAGGCTTTCAAGTTGATAGTCCAGTGGATGTGCTTCTTTTCATCCTGTCCTACAGAACATTTCTGTATAAGTGAGAAAGAGAAAGTTTAGAATGTATAACGGTGACTTGGGTTTCTGAGAACTAAAAGAACATTATATTTAAAAATGTAACTGATCGTGTAGACTCAGGAGGAAAACCTATCAGGTAACATTTCATTAGGCTCTTCTTAGTGCACAGGTGTCTCCCATGCCAGCAGTGTGGATGAGGGGAGTAACAGCATGCTCATGAAGATTCTGAGGCCTCCCCGGCCTCTCGTTAAGAGCACATTAACAGTAGCTAGCAAATAATATGAAATGGAGTTCTTTTAATTTTAAGTGTAATTTCATATAAAGGATTTAAATGATTAAGAACAATTACATTAAGTGTGTATATTTACTATTTTGGGATCCTGATATGTAAGGTTTGTCATTTCAAGTTCAGTGATCATGCTTACTTGTTTTTTATACAATAATAAATTTTTTGGGCTTCATTACACTATGCTTCATACACTTCATTACGCTATATCAAAATATGCATAATTAATTGGGGCTTAAAAGGCTTGTTCAATTTATTTAAGAAAAATTAATAAAACTGATTATTTCCTTTAAAGCTGCAGAAGAAAGAAGATCAGCAGTTGGAGCCCAAAAAAAGTACTAGCCCTAAAAAAGCTGCAGAGCCCACTGTTGATCTTTTAGGACTTGGTAAGTAACAAAAAATATAAGTCACCTTAAGAGTTATACAGTAATTGAAATCTTTACTTGAAATGAATATAATGGCTTTATCATCAGTATGCCAAAAGGTACCTGTTAACTGAATTTGAAAATGGTATGATGAGTATGCTCAGTTCCCACAAAAAGGGAAGTCTTTAATAAGAGAGCTAGTGTCTGTCAGCACTGTCTCCCCTGAAATACAAGTAATGAGTTCCTTGGGGGAAAGAAGAGATATCAAAGTAATCTTCAGAGGCGTAGTGGACTGACATTTCAACATTTAAAATAAAGAGTAGATTTCTTTTTCTCTTCTCTCCCTCCCTCCCTCTTACCCCCACTTCTCTTTATTTATTTTTGTTGGGGGGATTCCCTTAGCAAAATAATTATGGGATAGCCTTATTGTAATATGTGCTGGTTTAAAACAAAATTTAATTTTGGTTAACTGAAGCAATGTGCTTTACACCTAGATCTAGTGGCTAAATTCATTTCATTTATTTGATGACAATAAGAAGTGCTCATTTTAATTTAATGTCGTATTTATTCTTATGGCTGACAGATATATGTTGTCTGCCTGGTAAGTAAACAAGCTTCCATTCAAGGAATGTTTATATGTGCTTTTCTACAAATACTGTCAGCTCTTTTTAGATCTTTCTTCTCTTCCTATAAAAATAGCTTTAAATAAATGGTTATTTTTAGTAATATCTGAGCCTTCAGCAGTAATTAATGTAAACATTTTTTTTAGTTTGGAGAAGGATTAACAAAGGAAAAAATGAAAGATACTTGAAGTTGAACTTCATATACTGCTTTTCTAAAAATTGATCTTTGTTCTTATTGAGTATATATTGTTTTCTGTTTTAAGAATTATAGTTGAGTGCTTTATTCATTTCTTAGGAAACTGGTATATCACGGAAATATATCCCTGTAGGTAAAAATTTTCTGTGGTGGTGAAAATAAGTAGTATATATAACTGTGATTTTGAAAGTACAGCTTTAGTCCAGGGGCTCTGAAATAATTACCTTGAATTCTAGTGCATATAGTTTCTGTATTTTCTTTTCTGTAAATGAGAGGAAAAAAAAAAAGACTTATTACTAAAATCTTACTAAAACTATATGAATGTTTGTCTTCACTGTACCATTTCCTTTCCAGTCTAAGTGTCTGGTTTATTACTTTATAACTTAGAAATGTAAAATATAAACTAGACCTGACTCTTATCATACAGATTCATTCATTGATTTAACAAATACTGATTAAGTGTCTACCATGTTTTCAGGCACCATTGTAGGCACTAGGGAGATAGCTATGAATGGAAACAGATAGAAATATCTGACCTTTTGGAGCTTTCATTCTATCTGAGGAAACAGTAAATAACACTTAAGTAAGGTATATTATGGGTCATATACGGTAAGTGCTACAGATAAAGTAAAAATGAGTAGTTGTAATTTTAAATACGGTGGCCAGTGCATGGAAGGTGCTCACTGAGTATTGCTGGAGCAAACACCTGATGAAGTTGTGGATGTCTGGATGTGTGGGGCAAGAACATTCTAACCAGAGAGAATAGCAAGTGCAGACGCTGTGCAGTAGCCGCTTACTTGATGTGTGCAAGAACCAGCAAGGATGACTGTGTAGCCAGAGTGGAATGATCTCTGGGATAGTCGTGACAGAGGAGGGGAGTGTGTGGCTTTTCCTCTGAGTGTCCTGGAAATACATTGGAGAGATTTGAACAAAAATGTCCATGAACTGACTTTCATTTTTAAAGAATTACTGTAGCTACTATGTTAAGAATAAATTATATAGCAGGGCAAGGCTGGAAGCAGGGAGACCAATAAGGAAACTGTTAGAATAATACAGGTGAGAGATGACGGTGGCTTGGAGTCAGTGGTGACGTTGGAAGTTAAAAGAAGTTATCAGGTTCTGGGTATGTTTAGAAGTTGGAGCCAATAGGATTTGCTGACCAACTGAAGTTATAGAATGTTTATCTTTGGGAATGAACCTGTAGAACAGGCAAATCTGCTGATTTAGGACAAGAAAAATTGCTATAACAATGTCTTGACTAGCCAGTGTGATCTAGTAGACAAATGGGGTGGCTGGCCTTAAATACTCAACTCTTACTGCAGTAATGTTGTGTAGTAATAACCACCAGCGCTCAGCAGCTCACATCAGGACACGTTTCTTGTTTCTGCTCTCAAGTCTGTGGGTCAACTAGGGCATCTCTGCTAGAACTTCATTTGATGTGTTTCCTGCCAACTGTTGCACTGTCACATATCGCGTCTCTGTTTTTCAAGATCCTGTAAGTGTTTCCCTGTCCTCTGCCACCCACCGTCAAAGCCGGTACCACAGATTTTAGGATTTGGTGATGACGGCACCCCTCTTGTGGCAAGACTTTCTGTGATAGTGCCCATGCCCCCTAGCAAACAACCCCCAAATCTCCTTGGCATGTATCAGTTAACATTTCTTTCTCTCACTCATGGTCTGTGTAGTACCTGTTCTTATCCGTTTAATATCTGATACGTTCTCTATCAGCTCTCTTTCTGACAGTGGGAGAGCTTCAGGGAACCGTTTCTTTAGGGGAGAGCCAAGGTCGATATAGGACAGGAAGGTGATGAGGATATTTGAAGAACGTAAGGATATATAGGGGATTTTGCTGGTGACTGTCAGTTTTAGATCATATACTGGAAGAGTTCCAAAGGGGGCCTGGACAGGAGCTAAGGTCAGAAAGAGGGATATCTTGCTGGTGAAGTTATAGCAGCAGGGATTGGGGGTATCTTACCCAGAGTATGTACAACTCTTCACTCTTACTGATCATAAATTCTTTTTAAAAATCTTTTCAGGCTTTTTTTTTTTTTTTTTAAAGCTCTCTGAAGCATTACCTTTAATGAGTTTGTGAAGGTCTAGGAGACCACAGAGAATCAGAGGTCCCTTCCAGCTCAAAACAAACAGTGATCCTAAATCAGAATTGATTATTGGTATCTACTTTGGGCCGCAGACTGTTTTTCTTTTGCCCAAGGTAAGCATACCACTCTCCCCTAAGGGGACTCTGGTTTTCCCCTGTAAATTGAAACATGGTATGGGGTAGGGAGCAGGTGCCCTGAAGTATGATTTATGGTCATGCAGAGGTGACAGTATATCCCCATGTGAATGAGACTGGAACAGGCATTAACATAAAGCATTTGCAGAAAATACAGAGAAAACCTTCACCATTAGTTTAGTCACACGACCACAGAGGGGCCATGAATCCTAAAGTTTACTGTTTGTATTTGGGATCACTTTTAATCTCATAATAGGGTAATCATTAAGATCATATTTTAGTAATTTGATCTTCCCTTTAAATGGCACTTTGGTGAGTCCATGGTCTTTTTTTCAACCTACTGACTCAAGCTAAACCTATTTTCTTCAGCTCACCTTTCCTGATCTACTCCCTATCCCAAGGTCAAACATAAAATGCTCTGGATATGCTTTTTAGCAAGGCTCAGCAAGATTTTTATGAAAAGGACCGAATACTTCGGCTTTGCAAGTTACATGGTTTCTGCAACTACTTAACTCTCCCACTGTAATATGCAAGTAGCTATATGCACATACATAAGCAATTGAACATGGCTGTGTTCCAGAAATATTTAAAAATAGGCAGTGGATTATAGTTTGCTGACCTCTGCCTTTTGTTCCCGATTGTACCTGCAAGAACTGCTTCATATATAGGTATTAATTAGAGTACGAAGCCTGTACAAATACGACTTATTCAGTGTTTTGCTCTCTAATACCAGAAGTGGGGTCAGATACTTGGTTATTACCTGCCCTCTAATCTTGGAAATAACCTAATGTCTTAGGGTTCCTCTTCAGTAAGGGCCAGACCGAAAATCCCTGAATCAGACTCCAGACTCAGATACATCTTAACTTGAATGTGTACCTGCTATGTTAGAAGAGAATTGAAATCAGTTTCTAGGGCATGTTGGGGTGGTGTTCTTAATGGTCCCTACCTGTGTAGTTATTCTAGCACCGGGCATTATGCTGTTATGCTAGTCTCCAATTTTTGTTGATTGTTGCTTAGTTTTTACATGATAAAAACTGACAGACAGCTTAGCAATTGGTTAGGATGATCCTCCCAGACTAATACTTTCATCCAGTAGTGCTTTTTGCTTTTTCTTTTCTTTTCTTTTTTTTTTTTTTGTAGAAAACCCCATCTGAGAATGCTTCAGGGCTGAGCAAATGCTCTAAGCATAAGGCTTGAGAAGAATCATAAATTGCTGGTGTTAAACGTGACCTTACAGGTTGCAGTTCAATATGCCACCGAAGGTAGAAAGCTCTCCTGTGGGGTTTCTGTCTGCGGTCGTCAGTTCACTGCACGCACAGAGCAGCGCACCCTGGCCCCTTGCCAGGAGGCTTTGACAGGCAGTCCTGTCAGGCACAGAGGTGACTGGGGTGGACCGCAGAAGGTGTCTGAGAGGATCGGATCCTCAGTGCTCCAGAAGGCATCTTGCAAAGGATGGATATGATCTTGGTAATGAAAATCTAGCTCAGGGTGTATTCAACTGCTTAAATAAAATCATTCTTATGCTTACTCCCTTTAATCTAGGGAAATTTCTGCCTAAACATTTCTTAAGTTCTACTTTAAATTATTTTAAATACCAAACTCTATAGAGGAGTAGGTAGAGGTTCCTTCAGTTTTTTCTTAATTCAAAAGCTCAAAGGACATACAGCTTTGGGCAAGTTTTCAAGTTTTCTCATTCATGTTTGTGTTTCAGGAAATAAAAGCTTTAACTTACCACGATGGCCGAGTTCAAATGCATTGACAATGCTAGTTAAATGCAGTTAACAGTATATAACCTACTTAATTTTCTAGTAACATACATTCCAGTTTTACATGATGAGAGAGATGAATTTTTATTCATGTTTTATTTTAGAGAATATATTACTCTTTTTTCTCTAAGTTTTTTTGTTTTTAGAAGATTTTTTTGGACAGAAACAAGCTAAAGGATAAAACCCCCACAGAAAGCATTCTACGTACTTTTATTTATTTTTTAAAGATTATTTATTTATTTATTTGACAGAGAGAGACAACACAAGCAGGGGGAGTGGGAGAGGGAGAAGCAGGCTTCCCAACGAGCAGGGAGCCCGATCGGGGGCTCGATCCCAGGACCCTGGGATCACGACCTGAGCCGAAGGCAGACGCTTAACGACTGAGCCACCCAGGCGCCCCTCTACATACTTTTAAAGCAGAAAATTCCTACAGGGAGACTTCTGTTTTTCAAAGTTCATATGCTGTAGACAGAAACAAGTTTGGGAATGAGCAGACTAAATGCCAGACATAGCAGCAGTGGCCCTGGGAAACCACTGGTGTCCTGTGAGCTGTGCACTGACCAGATCAGGAGGATGTTTGTGTAGTTAGCTACACACCCCGTTTTTCCAAGGAGAGGGGCTAAGAGAAGGAATACTCTAGCATAAGTACCCTAAATAATTTTGTAGTCTGTTTTGTTTTTCCGATACAGTTTTTAAAATTTAATTTTTCTTTAAGATTTTATTTATTTATTTGACAGAGACACAACGAGAGAGAGAACACAAGCAGGGGGAGTGAGAGACGGA